TACATGAGCATAAGAATGAGTGGGTTAAAACCATGCAAGAAGAGATGAGATCTTTGCATGAGAACCACACCTATGACTTAGTAAAGTTGCCTAAAGAGAAGAAAACTCTCAAGAATAAATGGGTTTACAAATTGAAGTCTGAAAACAATAACTCACAACAAAGATACAAGGCACGACTAGTTGTGAAAGGATTCAGTCAGAAGAAAGGTATTGACTTTGAAGAAATATTTTCTCCTATGGTGAAAATGTCCTCTATCCAAGTTGTTTTTGGTTTAGCTGCCCGCTTGAATTTAGAAGTTGAGCAACTTGATATGAAAACATTGTTAGGATCAAGAGCACTAAGAGGCGGGGGGGGGTGAATTAGTGCAGTGAAAAACTTTCGACGATTTAAAATGACGTTCGTACGATGAAATCGTTTCCGACATAAAACCATTTTCGGAAACTTAACTTGAAAGTGAGTTCGTAAAGGAGTGCAGCAAAAGTAATGAGGAAGTAAAGCATATATAGATGTTTGGAGTAAGGTAAGCAGCAAGAATAAATGCAAACTAGAGAGCACTGCAATTTTAGAGTGGTTCGATCAATCTTGACCTACATCCACTTTTGGCTTCCTCCTCCGAGTAGGTCACTGACTTCCACTAGAGGCCTTCCTTCAATAGGCGAAGGCCAACCACCATTTTATAATTTCACTCCTTTTGACGGGTTTAGGAGACAACCCTTACAGAATTTTCACTCCTCTCTTGAATGATCAAAACTTGGAAGAAAAGAGGGAGGAGAACTTTTAGCTTATACAATACTTTTAAGCTCTAAAAATCACAGAGTAAGATTGGATTTTCGGTGCCCTTTCATGCAGGAAAGGGTGGGGTTTATATAGGCCCCAAACTGGTTTGAATTTAGAGCCCAAAAATGTCATCTCCCTGATTTCCGGGGTCCTGGCAGTACTACCGCCATAACTGTGCGGTACTACCTCTCGGAGACTGAGCTCAGGTGGTACCACCGCCCAGTCTCGCTCGAAGACTGAGCCCAAGCGGTACCATTGCTTGATAGGGGCGGTACCACCGCCCAGTCTTGCTCGGAGACTAAGCCCAGGCGGTTGCACCGCCGGCCAGGAAATCTAGGTTCGAATGGGCTGATCCATTCGGCCCATTTTGGGTTTGTCAAGAGCCCAATTGCCCCTAGATTAAGTTAATGGGATCACCTCCCATTCCTAGCTTAATCTAAATGCTAACTACGATATTTCTTAAGATATTTATTGTAACTTGCTTCGGTGCGTCAATCGCTTCTCCCGGCGAGCTTCCGATGAACATCCGACGAACCCTCGGCGATGCTCCGGTGGACTTCCGGCAAACTCCTGGACTTACGACGATCCACTTGGTGAGTTCCGACGAGCTTCTTTGTCAAACTCCTGGACTTCTTGGGTTCCCGCAAAACCTCCGATGACCGTCCGGACTTCCGTCTAACTCTCGAACCCCCAACGTGATCATGGTCTTGACTCTAGCGTAACTCCTGCTGCATGTCTTACTTCCATCGTAGTTAATCTTGCACACTTATCTCAACATATGGATTAGATAATAAATGACAATTGACTTCATCATCAAAATCCGAGATTCAACAAAAACAATATTTCTTCATGGTGACTTAGAAGAAGAAATTTACATGGAGCAACCAGAAGGTTTCAAAGTCAAGAGAAAAGAAAATATGGTGTGTAAACTTAGGAAAAGCTTATATGGACTCAAACAGGCACCTAGCTAGTGGTACAAGAAATTTGATTCCTTTATGATGAGCCAAGGGTATGATAGAACCACATCTTATCATTGTGTATTTATGAAGAAATTTTCATATGAAAATTTCATTATTCTCTTGCTATATGTTGATAATATGCTGATTGTTGGCCATGATGCTAGTAAAATTGAAAAGTTTAAAAGAGAGCTAAGTAAGTCTTTTGCCATGAAAGACTTGGGATCGATGAAACAAATTCTTGGCATGAAGATTTTTCGTGATAGGAAGAAAAGAAAGATTTGGTTATCTCAAGAGACCTACATTGAAAAGGTTCTTGAAAGATTTAACATGAGTAAAGCCAAAGCAGTTTATTCTCCACTTGCAGGTCATTTCAAGCTTAGTTTGAAACAATGTACTACAAGTGAGAAAGAAAAAGAAGAAATGTCCAAAGTGCCTTACTCATCTGCAGTAGGCAGTTTGATGCATGCTATAGTTTGTACTAGGCCAGATATAACTCATGCAGTTAGAGTTGTCAGTCAATTTCTCTCTAATCTTGGAAAGGAACATTGGGCAGTAGTGAAATGGATATTAAGATATCTAAGAGGTACTTACAGGTTATATTTATGTTTTGGCAATGATGAACCTATGTTAGAAGGCTACACAAATGCAAACATGACATGTGATACTGATTCCAAGAAGTCCACTTCGGGTTTCTTGATGACATTTGCAGGGGGAGCAATCTCTTAGCAATCAAAGTTACAGAATTGTGTTGCTCTATCAATCATAGAAGCAGAATACATAGCAGTTACTGAAGGCTACAAGGAAGTTTTATGGATGAAAAAGTTTCTATAGGAATTGGGCTTGAAACATGAAAGAATTACAGTTGAAAAAAGTGCATACCAATGAGAATGATTCAGATATATTGACAAAGTCTTTGCAGAAGCTTGAAGCATGTAAGCGAAGAGCGGGCTTGGTACAACCCAACATATGAGCTGGAGGGGAAGAATTGTTGGGTCCAGCCCATATGCGGGCTTGGACAATTGGGCCTTTTGAGCCTAAATCACTGATTAAAAGGCGCGCAGAGAGAGAAAGAAAAGAACATAGAGCGAAAAGGAGAGAGAAAGAATAGGATATGAAGTTTTCTGTTTGACGATTAGTTTTGGCCCAAATTTTATGCAGAGAATCCTTGCAGCAAACTCTACAATCCTAACGGTGTTGATCTGTAGTTTACCCTCTCTGAGGTACTTTCATGTTATATCCACTTTGTGAGACCTAAAATTCTATTGTGATGAGATCCATCTATGTTATGAGGATATACTATTCTTCAGCCAAGATCTATGTTTTTAATGTTATTGTGATCCTCTAGTTATTCTAGAGAAGATTTACTATAAACCTATTATCATTACTATTGATAGTGGAAATTTGAGGTGGACTACGGTCTCGGGTTTTTCCCACATTAGATTTTTCATGTTAAAAATTTGGTCAAACTGTGTGATTGACTTATTGCTCTATTGTTTATACTATGCTGATTGATATTTGTATTTTGATATCAAATTAATATTTTGATGAGGAACCCATTTTGATATATAAAGAGGAAAAAAAATTATTCCGGTGACCAATGACACACTACCTACTTATCATATACGGCTTACTGTGTTTTATATAGACGAATTAATTTTGGGATACCTAAAGCCAAAAGAAGAAAGTTAGGGAATCTTGCAAGCTCTAAGAGAAAGTTATCTTATGATGAGATTGTGGGGAAGTTTGAAAGGTCGATTCCGGAGCAGATCTATTAAGACTTCTTACTTTGAAGCATATAACAACAGGAGACCCTCCTTCAAGATTTTATATATGGTTGCAAATTTTGTTATATATTAATACATGCATTTGGGTGCCATTTGTGTTTCAAATATGCATACCATTAGTTGAGTTCATGCGTTGTGTTCTATTGGTAGAGATAAGTGCTCGGCTTAGGTTGATGCATTAGTACATTAATTAATGGCTTATCAGTGTTGGCAAGTAGGTTAGAAAATACATACAGAGGGACACATGTATCACCTGGCTTTAACCCACCCAAGATGTAGCCCTACTGATGCATTTCTTTGCCCCCATTTTTTGGTTGCAGATAGCTATTTTGCAGGAGGATCCTGTTCAACACAAGCATGAGTAACGTTACATTTTGGTTGATACAATGCAATTGATCGATTCGTCCATGCTTGTTTTTCTACTAGGGTCGGTCTCCATATGTGTTTCAGTATTTTGCTTATATTTCCTCATTTTTTCTCTTATAGCACTGGAATACTGTGTTATTGTTTCATGCTTTTGGTAGGACTTTTCATCATAAACATGTGTTTTTTGGAAGTCTTTAGCCTTGAATCTAGTTGAATCTAGGGCCGGTTAGGTGATTCTCAAACCCCTTGTATATCAATTATTGGCATAATCACCATTTACTCATTGCAAAAAAAAAAAAAAAATTGATTTCATGATCCAGTTGAGCTGATTTGTGCCTATCCACTTCTCTATCTTCTCACAAGTCTGTCTTCTTGATTGTAGGAGTGTGTTGTAGCATAATGTCTTGACTTTGCTAGCCGTGTCATGGTTTATGGTTGATTGCACTCTTCATAATCTTCTGACCATGCCATCTAGAAGAAAGAGGCAAAAGGGAACAAGAGGAAAGTCTGAATTGTATATGGAATAAACCCTCTTTGCCCATATGGGTGAACTGTGAAGTTGAGAAGAAACCAGAGGAAAGTCTGGTTTCTAGATGCTCTTCATGATGTTTAAGAGTCCATTGGATGGCTAAGACCGTGCTTTTGCTTGTTATGGCTCTTGCTTTGGTTCGTCTTGGATTTCTTCAATTATCATGAGCATCATATTTGTGATGGGGGTGTTGGTGCAAACTCTGGATGGATGAACCGGGCACTTCGTTCCTGTTTCTGTGAAAAGATATCCCATGGTAGTACCAGACCAAATATCCTTCTCGGCAACTTTGATAACATTTATTATGATTGTATCCGACGAAATAATTGATCAATTAATTCTAATATCATTTATTATAATTTGATCAAATAAGATAATTAATCTGTTGAGTTTAAACCACTGATCGAAGAATCTTGTGTTGCAGGAGCATCATCGTCGTCTTCCGATTTGGTCAAGAACCCTTTTGGGCAATATCTTGAGCCAGTCATACAGATTGAATATTTATACTCGCTCAGATAACAGAGATGGGTGTTCGCTTGGAGAATTATCCGTATGTTTTGTGAACATTGCATCGAGCAAGGAGGGAAGAGGTAATGCCATTCATATTATTTCACAGTTCTACGGTAGCATAAATCCGGAGGAACAAAGGAACAAGCACAGTGTTGACCTTCCTGAGCAAAGGAAAAAGCCCTTATTCTTGAACGCAACCACAGCTACACCACCAGCAGATTTATTTGGACAGATCAGAATGAGTCATAAACAACACAACCGGAGAACGATCGGAAATCAAGTGAGCGTGGCACCCTCGTTCTTCCTCTGCCTCTTCTTTTGTCTCGGCCATGTTCGACTCTTGGAACCTTGCCTGCGGCACCTACCATAGTCTTGGCATCTGCCTACAAATTGATGACAAACAATGTGGGTTATCTTCTTATCATGACTAAGATCTCGTGTATGAAAGCAAAAGGACACAAGCGTAGAAGCAGCGCTTATCTGGTTAATGTATACCTTCTCGCTCTTTTAAGGTGTCCTCAACTGCAACGGTTCATCATCATTTTTGGCCTGGATTGTACACCCTTCAGGGGCGGTCGACCACCTGTATCGCTGCTCGAGCTTTGGACACCCATTGATTTGCAAATCTACTAAATTACTAGGTAGCTTTCCCTCCGGCAGCATCTTGATATCAGGGCAATTCACTATGTGCAGGCTCTTGAGGCTTGGAAGGGTGACCAGTAGATGAGGAAGGCGTTGCAGGCGGTATACTCGAGTGAGACGCAGTTGTTCGAGAGACGCAAGATGATCCAGCCGCTTCTCCAGCCCTCGAGTAAATGCTTCGAGATCAAGGCTGTCGCGAATCTCCAATCGACGAAGCGAAGCGAGGTGTCCTTCCTGGAGGCTGCTCTGGAGAAGCGCGAGCTTATCAATGTGAAGTATCAACGTTGATGTTGAGGCCTCGTCCTCCAGCAAGTCGAACGAGTCGCCACCTGCAAAGCATCGGACAAGAAGCTCCTCGAGTGATGAAGGGAGGGCTATCGGTCCTGTTAAACTGCGACAGTTTCCGATGGCGAGCTTGCGAAGACGAGGGAATACTTTACGACATTGCTTCGCCCCGTTGTCCCACTTCTTCCATTCGTTCAGCGTATCAAACAAAAGCTCCTCCAACGATGGGAATGGTGCATCTGTGCTGCCATAAAACTCAGCACCCACCTCTTCCACCGAATCCATACGCCTTAGGTGCAGAACCCTGAGAAAAGGAAGCTCTCCGAGAGGGGGGAGGGATGTCAATTGATGGCAAGACCACATCTCTAACCTCTCTAATCCCAGCAAATATTTGTTCTCCATCCAACACGGATGTCGGCGACCCTTGTAGCCATTAATCTTCAGATTTCTAAGATCTGGATGCGGTCGGAGTCCTCCAATAGCATCTTCGCATTTAGTGGGAGTGATCGGTTTCCCTTCATTGCTCCAGCACAGTTCCAACCAGATGAGGTATTCCTTGTCCTCCAACATGGCCTCTTCTGCCTTCTCCTTGCTGTCTACATGCTGGAGACCTCTGATGCAGAGTCTGCGGAGCTGATTCATATACTTCAATTGCCCTATATCGAATCCTTCCTTTTTGTGTTGGATGCGATAGTCCTTTAATTCTTGAAGATAAATTAGATTGCCAATCCATGGAAGGGCCGTAATTGCTTCGCTATCTGCATCCACACAACGTAGGTTGCTTAGCTTGTTCATGTCATCTGGCAGCGAAACACTCTTGGAATGCATCCTCAGAATCAACCACTGCAGATGGTAGAGCTTGCAGAATGACTTGGGCCACTCCGTGATGGCGTTCCCAGGCAGCTCAAGGTACCGAAGGTGTTTCAATTTACCAATAGCCTCTGGTAAGCCTCTTCCAATCACAGAAAGCACCAATAAACGTAAGCTTTTCAAACTCTCCAAAACCTCTTTAAGAGATTTATCATATTTAGACCTGGTCTCCTCACCAGTGCCCGACAGATCGCCAACGACCACAAGGCTGCGGATGTCTTTCCTCTCGCACAAAGTTTCAGCAACCGTAACGAGATCATCAGCAGCAACATAGACATGGCGGGCCTTGTTCGGGATTCTAATTGGCTCACCAGATTTGATACCCTCGAGTCTGAAGTACTCACCGTCGGAAACACTTTCTGCAAACTCGTGCAGGATAGGGTGAAGCTCAAACTTGTTTTGCCCTGTCTTCGCATTCACGAAAAAGGATCTGCACGACAGCTCTTCGATCGACTCCTCGCCGACGTCCTCCATTCGGTTGTTCCAGTCATCGCCCTGAACGAAGCCTAGGGCCATCCAAATTCTTAGCAGCTCGTCTTTCTCGAAGCAGTGCTTCCTCGGGAACAATGAGCAAGAAAGATAGCACTGCTTTAGGTGGGCGGGTAGGTCTTCATAACTCAACCTCAGCACCGGCGCAATGTCACCCTCGGTTTGTTTGACATCACAAATTCTTTTACGTAAGATTCTTCTCCAGTGTTCTTCCTCTAACTTGGACTCTAAAGCACGCCCTACGGTCAGCGCTGCTAGCGGCGATCCCCCCAACTTCTTCGCTATTTTCCTGCCTACGTACTCCAACTTTTGATGATCGCTACGGTTTTGATCACCAAGCGCGCATTCTCTGAATAATTCCCAGCACTCCTTTTTCTTTAAACCATCAAGATGTATAGTTCCTTTGGTCCGCATCATCTTTGCGACGTTCTGGTTGGTGGTCGTCACTACGATCTTGCTTCCCTTTCCTCCAGAATTAAATGGGACGCAAAGGTTCTCCCAAATAGTATTGGATTCCTCCCACACGTCGTCCAATACAATCAAAAACCTTTTGCCCATCAGCCCGTCACGAATAATGTTCTGAATCTCTTCCAGATTGCTAATGCTATGCAGATCGCTGGGTCTATCAAAACCGGCAGATTCTATCATCTCTATGGAAAGCCTCTTAACATCAAAATCGTTGCTCGCACACACCCATGCCATGACATCCAACTTCTTTTCTTCTGTCCCCTCTTTTACAATGTTATAGGCGAGCCTAGCAAGGTGTGTCTTCCCTATCCCACCGGGTCCTACGATAGCCACAACTGAGTAGTTGGCGTCGCCTGATTCATCACCTAGCATGTTCAGTAGCCTCTCCATGTCATGTTTTCTTCCTCTAACAGAGTAGGACTTGGCTGGGGGAGTGGTGGTTGTTCGTCGCCAATCGGGGATGGCGACTTCATGTTGCTTGTTAGTGGCTACATGGAACTCTGCTACTTTAACAAGTATACTGATTCCATCAACTAGTTTAGCGGATGTTTCGACAGCCATGTTTAACTTTGAAGTTCTTTCAGAAGCAAAAGCAAATTTCATGAACATATCTTTAGCGTCATCTCCTATTTTTTGAGCATAGAATGCAACTCTACTGACCTTGTTCTTGCTTTTGGCTTTCTCTTTGAGTAACTTGTAATGGAATATATCGATAACCTCGTGCACAGAGCAAGCAGCATCCTGGACGTCCCAAAGCCAGGCTTCCAAGCTCGGGTTCGTGATCCGCCTCTTGCCAACTTCGAAGATGGCCGCCTCAATCTTTCGGAGGTGCCTCTCCAATTGTCGTAGCTTGAACTGCTTGCCCTTCCGGTACTCTATCTGGTTGTTTATGTAGAATTTGATTATGTCCGCCACTTTGGTGATGGCCAGAGACACGAACCAGCCTGCTATTATCACTTCAGCCATCGGTGCTTGCGTCTACCAGTGGTGAAGAGAGAGAGAGAGAGAGATGAAGCTTCAAGTCTCAGAAATGTTCGGTGCGCTTAGACTAGCTCAGTCTGCAAGTATATATACAAGTGACTCATGAGCTGTACAAACTAGTCAACATTTGTTTAGGATGAAGGCGATGGCCATGGCTTTCAATGGTTTTGGATCCGGCGGAGGGATAATAAGATATGACCTTGGATTGCCTTCACCTATTAGAGTCAACTATGTTTGTTTGCAGCTATCTAAAAGCCTGCATGAGACTGAACGGAATCTACGTCCGGTATAGGCTTCTTTGACGTTGCATTTGTGTTTTGAGAAGACAGCATGTCGGCCTTCGCTTTCGAGACAGCCGCTGGAAGGGTTGGTGGCGGGTGAGAAGTGACTTCTCTGCTTCCGTGATCCGACAGGGTCAACATCGACCAGCCTTATTTAAAGACCGACTTGGTTGTCTTTTTTTTTCCTCTATGTCATTCTCCTATAAGAAAATTCTTATGTCGGCCTATCATCTCCATAGATATATCATATGTTTTAGAATATGTTTGTATCGGTTTCGTAAGGGTGTGGAATTGGAACGACTTGGAATTAACAAGTTGCACTCTCTTATTGCATGAATCATGTTGTCTCCATGGTAAGTCGTCTGCAGTTGTGCTACTGAGGAAGGTATGTTTGGGTTTGGGCTTCATGATGGAGCTTCACGAGAGCAGAAACTTCATCCGACTCCATGATCAATTGCGACATCTTGATTGCTTGTATCCATCTCATCTTCTCATGCATACGGAGAACTGAGTTGCTCAATCGTTTCCTCCTCTTCCTTTCTCGAGTTATATCCGTGTTATCTTGCATTCGAGAGAGACTCCACAACCGCCCATTTGTTTTGTTCATTCCCATCAATTTTACTATTTATATTGCATTCGAGAGAGACGCCACAACCACCAACCGCCCATTTGATTTGTTCATTCTCATCAATTTTACTATTTATATTGCGTTCGAGAGAGACTTCACAACCGCCCATTTGTTTTCTTCTTAGAGACATATCCAAGTTAATAAAAAATTGAATGAGTTAGAAAATAAAAAAAAAAGGTGAATTCTCGGAAAGAGCCTCTGACTTTAGCGAGCCTTTTTTTTTTTTTTTGCCCCGAGTTTGAAAAGTTTCCAAACAATATCTTTATTTTTTAAAATGGCAATGAATACCGTTAAACTCGTTCAATCGATTGGGTACACTGTATACCGTTAATCCAGTTTCAAGGGATGTCTACAAGGTGTATGACCTTTCACTCCGACGTTGGCGATCTTTCATATCAGCATTTACTCATAGATGTTGTTTCATCTCCTTCTTGTGTCTTAGGGTTTTAAGGTTTACAACAACATCATCAAGTTCCATCATAGTCATTCACTGTCGCCGCTCTTCTAGTGTTGTCATCGAGTTCTAGTGTCATCGTTTTTCTATTCTGTTGTCGAGTTCTTGTGCTACCATTGAGTTCCTATTCCACCATCAAGTTCCTATGCCATCGTAGAGTTCTTATACTGTCACCATCGACTTTGAGATTTTGTATGATTTATAACTTAATTATCTAAAACTCTTTGAAAGCTTAAAACCCAAAAATACTCCATCGATATAACTTATGTTTTCATGCATCTAAAATAATCCTACAAAATACATCATAAGTTACACTCAAATGTCTATTGTTGATTTAGTTAGATGAAATAAGAAGTCTCCTTAAACTCATTGTACTCTTTCTCTTAGAGGGTCCAAACAAAATGGAATCACATACTATGAGTTGATTTTCCTAGACCAAATTTTGATAATATCTTTGGGACATATTTAATAGGTCATTTGTCAAAATAATTACATAAAGATATCATGTTTTGGTGAAAATGAGAAAAAGATAGAGAAAATAAAAAAACCAAATTATTCAAACTTTGAAAAGAATAAAATATTATCAAAATAAATCTCTAAATTATAAAATTTTATAGAGATCCATCCGGTTGAAATTGAAAGATTTTTTGAAAATTCAATAGCATTTGAACTATTCCTTCATGATGATACTTTAATTTTGGCATAGGATCAAAATCAAGATATTGTATATCATGTGTTAAAAGTTTAAATATAAAAAAATATTGTACATAGACATAATGCTTCAGTGCAAATAGAAAATGATGGAGAAAATATAAATATCGAAACTGTTTAGACTCTAAAAAGATATTAAAAAATATATAAATTAAAAAAATTGTTATAGAGATCCATATAGTTAGAATTGAAAGTTTTCTGAATATTTTATAGTATTTAGACGTCAATACTCTAATTTTCGGTTCCAACCAAAAGTAGAGTATCGATTACTAGGATTTAACCTTTTTGAATCAACTTCTTACCGTAGCTTTAAGATATATTCAAAAGCTTAAATATAAAAAATATTATATAAAAGCATCATGTTATGATGAAAATAAGAAAAACATGGAGGAAAAAAAAATCCCAAAATATTTAGATTTTGAATAAATAATAAAATTAAAAGATAAATTACAAATTTATTATAGAGGTTCATGTGATTGCAATTAAAAACTTTTCTAAAAATTTTATACATTTGGACTATTCCTTGAGGTCGATACTTTTAACTTTATGGTCTAACTAAGATCAATGTATTGAATATCAAAGAGTTGAATCTTTTGGACCAATCTTTTATCATATTTGTTTTGGCATTTAGAGAAGTTCAAATGTTAAAAAAATATTACATAATGACATCATGTGGAATTAAGAAAAGTATGGAGAATATAGAAAAACCTTAGACTGTTCATATTTTAAATAAATAAAAAATATTTTAAAATTTTATTATATAGACCCATGTGATTGTGTGAATGTCAATGGAAGAGGTGAGATAGGATGGGGAATACTTCTCCTTTTTCTATCCTCATCTTATCCTCCATCTCCCGTACCCACCCTATTCCTCATTTAGATGGGGTGGGGGTAGGGATTAGGAATCTTTATTGGGGGTGAGAAATTCATGGATTCTTTATATCATTCTAATTAATTAATTTAATTTTAAAAATAAAATTATTATCAAACCTAATTAATAATATTAAAAGATATATAATAAATATAAACATATATAAAAGTAAATAAAATCAAAATTATCATAATCTACGAAAGAGATAGGGGGAATATGGAGGAGGATCGAGGGGGGGGGGGAATAAGGATTTGAGATGAGGCGGGGCCAGGATGACTATGATGAAGGGAGAAGCTATAAAGAGAGAGGAAGGAGAAGGGAGTGTGCAATGAGAAAGAGAAAAGAATATTAAGGAATCATCATCATCATTTATTATGTTTACAATCATCGATCACTAAAGTAATCATCATTTATCGATAAAGAGAGGAGGACTAAAGAAGACAAAGTCAAATAATCATTGCAACATCGCATGCGATTAGGGATTGGACGCATATTATGCGTGGAGCTACGAGGAGTTGTTACTGTTGAATGAGATGTTTGATTTGATTCAATTGAATCAAATGGTTCTTAATTGAATCATAATCGATTCAATAAAGGTTCACTTAATCTAATTTAAATAATTTGAACTTAGCATCTCAATACATATATAAATGGGTTAGATACAAGTACATCCCCACTACGTGAGTAATATAAAATGACTCTCATCCCTTTTTATTTTTTCCATCCCTAACCTATTAGGTGTGGGTCCCCATGGGTATAATTGACATCTATTACAATCGAAAGATTTTTTTAAAATTTTATAGCATTTGGATCATTCCTTAATGTTGATACTTTGATTTTGAAGTCCAACTAAATCAGGTATTATTTATTAGGAGTTAACTTTTTTGGACCAAATTTATACTATAGCTTTGAGATATATTTAGAAGCTTAACTATTAAAAAAATTAAAAATTAAAAATAAAAAACATAACGTAGTCCAAATCATTGGAAATCTTTCTGAAAGATTTACAGTGCACCCATACGGATATGTATCAGACTTTTTCTAGTTTAGAAATTTTATTCATTTTTTGATTTATTTTATTTATTTTTTAATTTATATTCACCTTAGTGAATTATCAACCCTAATCCCTTTTCACTTTATACAGCCACTAATCATGCCATCAAAGTCTTATTATGAAATTTTCAGGAAAGCTTGTAGTTGAAACCTGATGGACCTTTATATCAAATTTTCTAATTCAAATTATTTTGATATTTTTTTATTTATTCTGAATTAGAATTGTTTGGTGTTATTTCTATTTTCTCAATCTTTTTCTCATTTCCACCAAAACATGATGGATCCATGCAATGTTTTTCCATTTCTCATTTCCACCAAACAGTTACAACAGTCCATAGACAAATTAAATTTTCAGAATTTGATCCCAAAACCTTTTTTGTATTCATATTACAATTCTAACTAACCAAATTTCTATTGTAATTTTCATTACACATATACTATTATGATCCATGTGAAAATTTACATGATTGATAATTATATCTAAATGTTAGCACCTTGAATACTTATTTTTTTCCGCTATTATTGATTTAATTATTACTTTCTTTCTTCTATTAGCCTGCACCGTGCTTCTAGGAATAATAATGATATAATCATATTCTCGTCGCATCCAATACTATTTGCTTCTTATAAGAAAAATGTTATCATTGCAAGTCTTCTTGTAGGTGTCTAAGTATATAAAATTTTTCACAAAATAAATATGGATTAGCACTCCCATATCCAATAGCAACTATCGCATGAGAACAAAAAAAATTTAAAATATCAAAATGCTGACACAAACATTTTTCTCTAAATTTACTATAATTGTCTCAAAGGATGTCTTCACTTACAATTTGATATAATTATATGGAAAGACACTGTAGTGTCCATCTTTCTCTTTCACCTTAACAAGTCCGTCCTTAATAATACTTGTCATAATTGATATTAAATTAACAACTATTTTATAATGGATGTAGAACTATTGCAATCTTCATTCTCGTCATTTCAATCACAAAGATTATAGATAAATCATGACCATCTTTGAGTAATGAAT